TGACCCTGGGAAGCATTTAAATAAGTGACCAGTGACAAAGCCAGTTGTGTGTTAATCAACTGGAGTTCTCTCAAACTCATTGCTGAAGTGGGAAGTCACACTGCTCCTGTTCCAGGCAGTGAGAAGGGTGGGCACAGGTTCTCCCTGAAAATGAAATGTGAGGGTTTGGGTTTTTTTTCATGCCAGGCACCAATAAATCGAGGCATGAAACAAGTACAACTCTGTGAGTTCCTTAAAATCACTCCAGATGTAGGCCTGAGCAGTTGCTGTTTCATCCTCTGGTAAACAGACCAAGCCTGGCTTTTGAACAGTGCTTCTTTAGCATATCAGTAGCATCCGACTGTACGGATGGGGAAATTCAGTTGTAGGCAGAAAAATTGATCATATCTCTCCAGCAAATGGGGAGAATGCTTCCCTGCAAAGTCCTGTATGCTGAAGGAGCCTGGAGCTTATCCTTTTTAATAGGTGTGTACCTGAGTGTGCACTCTGGGTATATTGTAATGTTGTTTCTGTCTTCCAGATATACGAGGTCCTGAGTGTAATCCGAGATATCGGCGCGACAGCTCAAGTGCACGCTGAGAATGGTGACATCATTGCTGAAGTATGTTGTGTTTATTCTGTGGAGTATTAACTTCAAAATTCTGGGAGGGATTTAAACTCTTAATTCCTTTTTTGCAAACAGAGAATCACCAAGGCTTTTAAAAGCATGGCATAGCTGTATGAAGGATGCAAGCAGAGCTGTACATCAAATCTTAGTCCCTTTAATGCCACTGATAAAACAGGTTTTTGTGGCAGCTTCTAGTTTGTGGTGGTTATCTGCCATCTCTGCTTTCTCCCCATCAGTGAAAGACTGTCTGGGTGTGACTGTCACTGCGTACAATGAAATGTTCTGCTGTAAATAAGACCAAGGGGAGTGGGAGGGGAAACAGCTTCATACAGTGCCTGGGGTACTGATGTTTGGGATCTGTTCATCCTTTAAACAGCAACAGAGAAGTAATGTTAGTAATATACTTGGATTTAATATGATCTCTGGCTCATTTTATACGTTATATCTCAAGCATGTGAAACTTGGTGTTGCGGAGGATTTCTGCATTGTCTGACTGGGGAAGAGCCTATCTGAGTCTCTGAGCCTAGTGGCCTGCAGTTGCAGGATGACTTTTTCATGAAGTACAGTTCTGCCATGTCTTAAAGATTGTTGTATAGACACAAATAAGTAGTGAAAGTTGAGGGGCTATAAACCCAATTGAAACAAATCAAAATAAAAGGTTTCCCTGACCTCTTGTGAACAAATCAGCAAGGATTTTGTGAGGTCTGGTTATTCTCACAAAGGGAAGTTGGACAGGACTCTGGTTGTAAGGCCCTTATGTAAAGCCCCATGTGATTATCAGCTAGTACAGATGCCTAGGATCTCATTTGTACTTCTTTCAAACAGCTGGTTGCTGCAAGAAAAAATACATCTTGCTTTAAATCTTTTTCCTGCTCTTTTTTCTCTCTGCTTTAGGAGCAGCAAAGGATCCTGGAACTGGGGATCACAGGCCCTGAAGGGCATGTGTTGAGCAGACCTGAAGAGGTGAGGACTTTATTCCCTTTGCATTTACTTCCCTAATTTATAACATTTCTGCATATCCATCAAATACTTATATTGGAATGAATGTGGCCACAAACACGACTTCATCCTGGCTGTAAACATTATTGCTGCATGGGGTAAAGGAAGAAGCAAAGACAATTCTAGAGACTAAGTACTCCCTTCTAGAGGCTATCATTATTTAAGATAGTCTATAAAGGCTCTGTCTGAGGCACTTGTATAGCTTCCATTATAGTAATATTTGATCATTTGATGAACATTTAACTGATAACGGATTTTTTACACCAAGGGACTAAGTGGTTTGCTGAAGGCACAGAAAGTGTGTACCAGAGAGGGAAGCTAATTCTCAGATCTTAGCCCAGCACTTTAATGTAGTTAACCTCCATACTATCCTATTGATTTCTCCAGGGTCAAGCTCCCCAATCCCTCTCACTCCCTCTGTCTTTAAAATATTTAATCTCAAGAGTAAGAAAGAACCCTAGAACTTTGCATTTCAGGTTGGTTCCCATTGCATTCTTCATTTCCAGGCTTTCAGTGTCTTTAAGCTGGACATTCCACCGTGGCATTCTGGGTTTGTGTGTTCCATCTGTTATGTACAAGCAGTTCTTTTTGTACCTCCAAGATACTGGGGCTTGCTGACGGCCAGATGTGGCAGCTGGAAGCTCGGTGTGTGAGATCATCCACACGTGCCCCTCATGCTCCCTGTTTCCTCTCCTTGGTTCAGACAAGCAGCATCCAGAGAAATTTCAGCAG